ACATGTGTAAGGTGATGGATTGTAACTATTATTTGGGTATTGAACACGTAATCTATGCAGAAGTAGAAGTTTAATGACGTAATCTGAAATTTATGCAACGATATAAACCAATGTTACCGCGATAAAAACTAATAATATATAGATTTAATATTCACATTCTAAGATAACAAAAAATAAAAGAGCAGAGTCAAAAACTCAGGTTTCCTAGAGTCTCAAAATTGCCTCAGTTTCCAGCCTGCTAGCCTGCCCTGTGGATTTTGAACCCCAGATTGCAACATAAACTCCTGTCTGAGTTTCCAACCTGTACGTCTGTCGATTGTGGACTTGCCAGCTTCCACAACTGGATGAGGTAATTCTTAAAATCTCATACTTATATGTATGTGTATAGTAGGAGATATCTATGTATCTGTCTATTTATCTATGTACCTCGTACTGGTTCTGTTCTCTGGAAAGCTCTGACTGATACACCACTCATTACAAAAATTGGATCCATTTGGCTTCTTGGTTTAAGTTTGTCCCTTGGACTTCATCATTCTCTTTGCTTTTAGTGAGAAATTAGGAAAACAATATAATTTACAATAACATTAAAAACAATAAAATTGCGAGTAATAAACTTAACCAAGGAAGTGAATGACATACAGAAAAACGACAAAACATTGTTAAAGAAATTAAAGAAGACACAAATAAATGGAAAATATTCCATACTCAAGGAGTGGGAGACATAATATTGTTAAAATATCTATACTATCCAAAGTGATCTACAGATTCAATGCAATCCCCATCAAAATCTCAATGGCATTGTTTACAAATTTAGGAAAAAACACCCTACAATTCATATGGAAACACATGAGATGCAGAATAACCAAAACAATATTAAGGAAAAAGAACAAAGTTGGAGGCATCACAATTTCTGTTTTCAAAATACATTACAAAGCTACTCTAATCAAAACAGTGTGGTAGAAGCATAAAGACAGATATATAAAAAAATGGAACAGAATAGAGAGCCCAGAATTAAACCCACACATATATGGTGAACTGATATTTGACAAGGGTGCCAAAAATAGACAATGGGAAAAGGATAGTCTCTTCAACACATGGTGTTGGGAAAACTAGATATCCACATGCAAAATCGCACAATAGCCAAGACATAGAAAGGTCTTAAGTGTCTATCAGTGGATGAATGGATAAAGAAGATATGATATAGATATATAAGGGAATATTATTCAGCCACGAAAAGAAGGAAATCCTGTCATTTGCAACAATATGGATGAACCTGGAAGACATTATGCTAACTGAAACAAGCCTAACAGAAAAAGACAAATACTGTATGTTATCACTTATAACTGGATTCTAAAAGAAAAAAAGTGAAATTCATAGAAATAGGGTATAATGGTCTTTGTCAGGGACTGGAGGTGGAGCAAATTAGCAGATGTTGGTCGAAGAGTACAATCTTTCACATATAACATGCATATATGTTCTGGGGATCTAATATACAGAATGTTGACTCTAGTTAATAATACTGTATTGTATACTTGAAACAGTGGATCTTAAGAGTTATTGCCACACACAAAAAATAATAACTATGGAGGCGATGAATGTGTTAATTAACTTAAAGAGCAAAGTGGGAGAAATTTCACTTCCTGATTTAAAAATTTTCTGTAAAGCTACAGTAATCAAGAGAGGGTAGCACTGTCATAATGATAGACTTACAGAACAATGCAACAGAATTGAGATTCCAGAAATAAACTTTACAAGGAATAAACTTTATATTTGTGGTCAACTGATTTTTGACGCAGGAATGAAAGCGGTTCAACAAGGAAGAGATAATATTTTCAACAAATGGTGCTGGAAAATTGAATATCCTAATGCAAAACGTTAAACTTAGACCTTTACTTCATACCATGCACAAAAGTTAACTCAAAATAGATCATAGACCTAAATACAAGAGCTAAAACTATAAGCTTTATGAAAGAAAAAAAAAGATAGAAAATCTTTGTTTCCTTGGGTTAGGCAAAGATTGCTTAGATGATCCATAAAAAAAACAGTAAATTGGAATTCATCAAAGTTCAACATTTTTGTCAGAGAAAGACACCATTAAGAAAATGAAAAGAAAGCCACAGTTTAAGAGAAAATATGTAAAAATTATGTATATGTTAAGGGTCTCGTATCCAGTATAGATAAAGAACACCTGCTGTACAACATGTGATATCAAGACAGGAAGAACAAGTGCACACACAGTGAGACATGCTGTCAGAGAACAGGCTGTGAGTGAGTAGAGTTCACAAGCTTCCATGCTCTACTGGGTAACAGAGATCTTAGGCCACCTCTTCCTCTGCTTCCTCCTCAAACTCACCCTCATCCTTATTGCTGGTACTCAGACACCAGGTCATTCACGTTGCTCTCTGCCTTGGTGAACTCTATCTTGTCCATGCCCACACTCGTGTACCAGTGCAGGAAGGTCTTGTGGGAGATCATGGCCATGAACTGCTCCGTGATGCACTTGAAAAACCCTGGATGGCCATGCTGTTGCTGATGACGATGGCAGATACTTTTAGCCCCCAGGGAGGGATGTCATAGACAGCTGTTTTCACATTTTTGGGGATCCACTTTCATTCTTTTGCATGTGGATATCCAGTTTCTCAACACTATTTATTGAAGAGACTATCCTTTCACCATTGTATATTCTTGGCTCCCTTGTCAAACATTAGTTGATGTTACATGCATGGGTTTATTTCTGGGCCCTGCATTCTGTTCTATTGTCTGTATGTTTGTTTTCATGCTAGTAACATACTGTGTTGATTACTATAGGTTTGTAGCACACCTACAGCTTTGCTCATTTGATGCCTCCAGTTTTGTTTATTTTTATTAAGATTACTTTGACTTTGGGGGGGTCTTGTGTGGTTCCATATGAATGGAAGCAATCGTGCTAGTGGAATGTGTGCTGTAGTGCAGTTCAGGATCAGTGGTGTGGGAATCAAGGGCTAGTACTACTCTGTGTGGGCCTTCCTGTGATGCATGGAGAGACAGATACCTTTGCTGTGTTCTTCATAGGTCAAGGGTGTTCATGGCCTCTCCTCCTCCTCATGACCAACTAGGGGCGAGGCCAATATTACACTGACACTAGGTACACTTTATCCTGGGACTCTTGTGGTTCAGCCCCTTTGGCCTCTGCACAGAATCCATCTTAAGAGAAAGGCAAGATGTTGGGCAATTACTTCTGTTGCCTTCTGTCTAACCAGAAGCTTGGCATTGTGTTCCCTTAGATCTTAGCCCTGTTTGTAAATGTGGATCTTCCTGCTCTTTGTTCTAGTGCTTGTAAATTGGCCTGGAAGCTGCTAAAGATCCTTAGACTATGGAAGCATAAGAGAGGAATAGTCAGGTAGCAGCCTGGACTGGCAAGAATTGGAATTGATCAGTGCAAGGTGGGGGAACATCACTTGCCCTACATGTGAGTTTTTGTGAGGGCTAGGAGAGAGAGAAAATGTGTATACATCGCTTGTATAACCATGAGTTTTTAGTGGGTAACTGACTCAACACTGACCTATATGATGCTATTAGCCACATGTGGCCATGAAATTAAAATTAAATAAAATGAAAATTTTGGTTCCTTGGTTGCAGTAGCTATATTTCAAGTCCTCAGTAGTCACATGAGGCTAATGCTGCTGTGTTGGACAATGTGGATATAGAAAATTTCCATCTTTGCAGAAAGTCTTATTGTATAGTGCTGATAATAGACTATGGAGGGCTGGAGGTCTTTTGCCACTGCCTGTGTGTGTGCTTGTGTTTGTTTGTTTATGTTGCTTCTTTTTATGTTATTTGTGTGTTGGGCTTGATTACATGTGATTCTTAGTGTGTGTAGTGGAGTTCTTGTGTGTGTGTGTGGTCTGTGAGTTGTCTAGGTGACTTCATGTGATGTTTCCATGTTTTGTAAATACATTTATTGAGATGTAATTAATGTACATTAATTAATTATTGATGTAATTAATATACATTAATTAATTATTAATCAATATGCATTACATATATTACTATACATGTATTAATTGATATATATTAGACACGGTACATATTTAATGTACACAATGATGAGTTTGCACATGTTTATACACATATGAGTCATTCACCACAATCAAGGAATAGACATATTCATTATGTACAAAAATTGCCTTGTGTCTCTTTTGTGCATGTGTGATTAGAAAACTTAACATGAGATTTACCCTTGTAATGAATGTTTAAGTGCACAATATAATATCGTTGACTATAGGCACTGTGTTGTACAGCAGGTCTCTAGAAGTAACTCATATTGCATAACTGAAACTTTATATCAATTGAATAACAACTCTACATTTTCTCTTCCCCTCAGCCCTTGGTAACTACCATTTATTCTCTGCTTGTATGAGTTTGACTATTTTTGACATGTCATAAAAATGAAATCATGCAATATTTGTCCATTTGTCATTCTGTGACTGGCTTATTTCATTTAACATAGTGTCCTCCAGGTTCATCCATTTTGTTACAAATGGCAGGATCTCCTTCTTTTTTAAGGCAGAATAATATTCCAATGTATGTATATGTCACATTTTCTTTATCTATTCATCTGTTGCTGGGCATTTGGGATGTTTCTGTAACTTAACTATTGTGAATAGTACTGCAATGAACATGGGAGTGCAGATACCTCTGTGAGATCCTGATTTCAATTATTTCGGGTATATACCCAGAAGTAGGATTGCTGGATCATGTAGTAGTTCTATTTTTAATGTTTTTGAGCACCTCCATACTATTTCCATAGCAGCTGCACCATTTCACATCCCCAATAGCAGTGTAGAAAGATTCCTGTTTATGTGATTTTTAAGTTGTGTATGACAAAGTGTTTCATTTTAAAGTTGTATGTATGTTGGTACGAATCCACGCAAACTTCTACATTTTCAACCTGATCATCCTTTCTAGATTCCTGAGATTCCCAAATCTTCTTCATCCCCAGCATATAGAAGAGAAGTACAATGCCTGAGAACCAGAGCTGCATGTCTGTGTTCCTCCTACTACTGGTCCCCATACAGTCTGAGTAACAGGGCTTGTTCTTCATCCTGTTACTGGGCATGTACTTGACCATGGTGCTGGAGAACCTGCTCATCATTCTGCTCATCTGGCTGGACTCTCGCCTCTACACCCCTATGTTATTCTTCCTCAGCCACCTGGCCTTCACTGATGACTCTTTCTCATCTGTCACTGTCCCAAAAATGTTGATGGACATGCATTCTAATCACAAGTCCATCCCCTTCATAATGTGTATTTCCCAGATCTATTTTTTCATATTGTTTGGTTGTCTTGACAATTTCCTTCTTGCAGTGATGGCATATGACAGGTATGTAGCCATCTGTCAGCCACGCCACTACACCACTATCATGAGGCAGGAGTTGTGTTTCTCATTAGTACATGGGTCTTGGTTTTTCAGCTGTGCACATGCCCTGTTTCACAGCCTCCTCTTGGTCCAACCGTCCTTCTTTGCTGAAAACACCATCCCCCACTTTTTCTGTGACCTCACTTCACTCAAAGATGAGCTTCTCAGACATCTCCATCAATGAGTTGGTCATCTACACCAAGGGAGGATTGGTTTTCATTCTCCCTTTGAGTAGTGTTCCTGGGCTCTTATATCTGTATAGTGACCAGAGTCCTGAGGATCCTCTCTACCAAGAGATTCTTCAAAGCATTTTCTACCTGTCATTCCCATACCTTTGTGGTGTCGTTATACTATGGGACACTTGTTATTGTTTTGTTATTTTCCTCATTCTCAGTCTCCAATGATAAAGACATAGTCACTTCTGTGATATATATGGCAGTTACTCCCATGCTAACCCCTTCATCTATGGCTTGAGGAACAGAGATGTTAAACATGTCCTTAAAATATTAGTTAATATATTTAAGTTATTTAAGTCACAATCACTCAATCTGTAACAATTACAGACTCAAATGAACAAGGAAACTAGTAAACCTGAGCAAACATTCTAGGTATCCAGTTGAATCTGTGCTGCATGGTACAATTTAAGGAGTTTGGCCTTTCCCATGTCTCTCTCTGCTGACATATACGAGTTTTCATTACAAAGACTGACTTCAATGATTCTGGCACTTTCTTTAAAAATTTTTAGTGTATATGATGCTCTATTCCAATATGCATGAGGCTTGGTGTGGTGAGGGGGCCAGTGAGGATGGCAATTGGCAGGAGTGAGGAAGGAATCTCCTCCAGTCCCACCATTTCCAAGAGAATCCTGCTTTTCTTCCTTGACTCCCCAGGGTCAAGTATGAAAAGAGTATCACAGAAAATTTTACTTACACAAATCAATTTTCCAATTTTTAAAAATCTAACACTCCCACGGTAAACAGTCAATGACTCCTTACTTCATTTCCTTAAAAATATGGGTTCATGACCTGAGTTTGGGCAAACAAGCTCTCAGCTGCCATGAACACCCATAGTACCACTGTGGTCCAGAATTGGGGAGCACAACACCCAGGGTCTGTGGGAGTAGTCAACAGTGTTCCTGAGCCCCCCCCCCACATGATTACTTTCCCATTCGATGGGAGACTGCACAGGGCCACTGCAATCCCAAGTAGTGACCAGGGCTTAGACAGGCACAGCTGTCAGGGGCCACAACAGTGGCCTGAGATTACACAGCTCCTCCCCTCCCAAGTGGCAGCAGGTGGAACCTGCATCCAGAAACTATCACTATGTGCCGGCACAAATTCACTCCATCAAATGGTATAAAGAAATTTAGTAATACCCCAGACCAGGAGGAAGAAGACAAACACCCAGAAACCAATCCTGAAGTCATGGAAATCTATAATCTAAATGACAAAGAAATCAAGACAGGCATCATAAGAAAACTCAATGAGGTACAAGAGAATTCTGAAAGACAGTTCAATGAAATCAGGAACCAAATTACTGAACAGAGGGAATTCTTCACAAAAGAGATTGAAACTATAAAGAAAAAGCAAACAGAATTGTTAGAGATGAAAAACACAATGGATGTGATAAAGAAAAATCTGGAGTCCTTAAACAACAGGGCTGATAACATGGAGGATAGAAATAGCAATCTTGAGGATAGGAAGACAGAAATGTTTCAGATGGAGGAGACAGAACTTAGACTAAAGAGAAATGAAGAAATTCTCTGAGAAATATATGACTCAATTAGACAATGTAACATAAGGATTGTAGGTATTCCAGAGAGAAAAGAGAGGGGAAAAGGAGCAGAGAGCTTGTTCAAAGAAATAACAACTGAGAACTTCCTAAACCTGGAGATGGAGCTGGAATTACATGTAAAAGAAGCCAACAGGACTCCTAATTACATTAAAGTAAAAAGACCATCTCCAAGGCATATATTAGTAAAGCTGGCAAAAGTCAACCATAAAGAAAAAATATTAAGGGAAGCAAGGCAGAAGAGAATAACCTATAAGGAAGCTCTATCAGGGTTTCAGTGGATTTTCCAGCAGAAACCTTACAGGCTAGGAGAAAGTGGAATGATATATTCAAAAATTTGAAAGACAAAAACCTTCAGCCAAGAATAATATATCCAGTGAAAATATCCTTCAGATATGATTCAGAAATAAAAACTTTCCCAGATAAACAATAGCTCAGGGAGTTCATTGCCACAAGACCCCCCCCCCAATAAGAGTTGCTCAAGAAAGCCCTCATTACTGAAAAAAAAGAAAGAAAGGGTTTACAAAGCCTTGAACAAGCAGATGAATACACAGACAAAATCAGAAATTGCAACTCTCTATCAGAACAGATTAGCAAACACTTAATTATAACTCTAAAGATAAAGGAAAATAAAACATCAAAAATAAATATTATCACTTCATTTTAACCACAAATTCACAACACATAATGGAATAAGTTGTGACAACAGCAACTTAGTAGAGGAAGAGGAGGAGGATGAAACCTACTTAGACTAAGGGAACAAGAGGCTATCAGGGAATGGACTATCTCATCTACGAGATCTTTTATACAAACTGCACGGTAACCACTAAACAAAAAATCAGGACAAAGACACAAATGATAAATAAAGAGAAAACTGAGGCAACCATCATAGAGAGCCACCAACTGAAGTAACAGTCCAAATATATGTGGAACGAGAAACAAGGGAAATACATAACAACTCAAAAACAAGAGATAAAATGGCAGCATTAAGCCCTCATATATCAATAATCACTGTAAATGTAAATGGAATGAATTCCCCAGTCAAAAGACACAGAGTGGCTGGATGGATTAAAAAACAAGACCTAACAATATGCTGCCTCCAGGAAAGACATTTCAGCTCTAAAGACAAACAGAGGCTCAGAGTGAAGGGAAGGAAGATGATACTCCAAGCTAGTGGTAAACAAAAGAAAGCAGGTGTTGCTATACTTATAAAGACAAAGTAGACTTCAAGATAAAAAAGTTAATGAGAAACAAAGAGGGGCAATATATAATGATAAAGAGGACACTCCACAAAGAAGACGTAACACTTATAAATATATATGCACCCAACACAGGAGCACCAAACTACATACAGCAACTATTAACAAACCTAAAAGGAGATATCAACAACAACACTATAATAGTAAGGGACCTTAACACCCCACTTACATCAATAGATAGATCATCCAGACAGAAAGTCAATAAGGAAATAGTGGACTTAAATGAAAAACTAGACCAGATGGCCTTAATAGATATATATAGAGCACTCCATGAAAAAAGAATAGATTACACATTCTTCTCAAGCTCACACAGAACATTCTCAAGGATAGACCATATGTTGGGAGACAAGGAAAGCCTCTAAAAATTTAAGAAGATTGAAATCACAGCAAGCATCTTTTCTGACCATAATGCTATGAAACTAGAAATCAATTACAAGCAAAAACTGGGAAAGTGACAAAGATGTGGAGACTAAACAACATGCTACTGAACAACAAATGGATCATTAAAGAAATTAAAGGAGAAATCAAAGAATATCTGGGGACAAGTGAAAATGAAAATACACCGTACCAACGCATATGGGATGCAGCAAAAGCAGCCCTGAGAGGGAAATTCATATGAATATAGGCCCACAATAACAAACAAGAAAAATGCCAAATAAGCAGTCTTAAACTACACCTAACAGAATTAGAAAATGAAGAACAAACAAAGTCCAAAGTCAGCAGAAGGAGGTAATAATAAAATTTAGAGCAGAAATAAACGAAATTGAAACCAAAAAAAGCAGTAGAAAGGATCAACGAAACAAAAAGCTGGTTCTTTGAGATGATAAACAAAATTGACATACCCTTAGCCAGACTCACCAAGAAAAAAGAGAGAAAGCTCAAGTAAATAAAATTAGAAGTGAAAGAGGAGAAATCACAAAAGATGCCACAGAAATACAAAAGATTATAAGAGAATACTACGAAAAACTATATTCCAACAAGTTGGACAATCTAGAAGAAATGGATAAATTCTTAGACTCATACAACCTCCCAAAACTGAATCAAGAAGAAATAGAGAACCCGAATAGACCAATCACAAGTAAAGAGATTGAAACAGTAATCAAAAACCTCCCAAAAAATAAAAGTCCAGGACCAGATGGCTTCTCTGGATAATTTTACCAATGATTCAAAGAAGATTTAATACCTATCCTTCTCAAACTATTCCAAAAAACATAGGAAGATGGAACACTTCCTAACACATTCTATGAGACCAACATCACCCTGATACCAAAGCCAGACAAGGACAATGCAAAGAAGGAAAATTACAGGCCGATATCGATGATGAACATAGATGCAAAAATCCTCAACATAATATTGGCAAACCGACTACAGCAATTCATTAGAAACATCATACAAAACGATCAAGTGGGATTTATACCAGGGACACAGGGATGGTTCAACATCAGCAAATCAATCAATTTGATATACCATATTAACAAAATGAGGAATAAAACCCATGTGATCATAGCAATAGATGCAGAGAAAGCATTTGACAAGATCTAATATCCATTTATGATAACAAAAACTCTCAACAAAATGGGTATAGAATGAAAGTACCTCAAAATGATAAAGGCCATATATGACAAACCCACAGCCAACATCATACTGAACAGGGAAAAACTGAAAGCCATTCCTCTGAGAACAGGAACAAGACAAGGGTGCCCAGTCTCCCCACTGTTATTCAACATAGTGTTGGAAGTTCTGGCCAGAGCAATTTGGCAAGAAAAAGGAATAAAAGGAATCCAAATAGGCAATGAAGAAGTAAAACTCTCGCTGTTTGCAGACCACATGATTTTATATATAGAAAACCCTAAAGAATCCAACAGAAAACTATTAGAAATACTCAACAACAACTGCTAAGTTGCAGGATACAAAATCAACTTACAAAAATCAGTTGCATTTCTATACTCTAACGACGAACTAACAGGAAGAGAACTCATGAATACAATCCAATTTACAATCACAACAAAAAGAATAAAATAGCTAGGAATAAATTTAA